TAAATGACTGCGCTCATAACAGTCCTAGCTCAACGAATGCATAATAACGGTTCTAATCCAACCATAACGATTCTAACCCAATAAACTTCACTCCTGACAACATAGTCTGAACTCAACCGACCGCACTCACGACAGTCCCGACTTAACCGATTGCGCTCCTAATAGTTCGACTAGAACTCTAATCCAATGGTCCACACTCATAACGGTTTTAACTCAACTGACCACGCTAATAACAGCTTTAATCTAGCCGACTTCACTCCTTACACAACACTCAAACCATACTGCCAACAGCATATCTTTAAGCCAACTCACCCGACTTCCTACGACACAATCCTGAGCAAATCAACCACATTCCTGACAGCAAAGTGCACAATGCAGACATTAGTAACAACTTTATCCCGGATCAGGAAAACACGGCCTTCGTTATGAAAATTAAAGATTCGTTCTACAAATGGGCATTCGTAGTAAAGTCGACTCAATCATTGCTCGTCAAATCGATTTCACGAGTGGATCAGAGCTTGGTAACAAGAAAAAAGCCACATCTTTATTGTGTCTAGCACTGTGATATCGATATATTGAAAAAAAGTTGTGAAAATGAATTATTTTTGTAGTTTGTTTCATTCAAGTAGAAGAAACAAATGCTTCCACTGTTAAGCATTCATTTTGGCGTAATCCTTCATTTCACTTTCCATAATAAATCATCTAGTACTTTATTTCAGCAAAGAATTTTAAGCGCTTGACCATTGAGCACATGATCATCGTAACCATGTTTTAAATTTTGCCAGATGAACCATGGATTGAAAAGCCATTTCAAGAATATAGACGAGCCATTTTACAGCTATTTTTATTTAGATATCGTCGTACGTTACTTGTTTAAAGAAATATAAAAATGATAATATCAGTTCCAGAATTAATTTTCGAAAAACATGGTGTGCATTTATAAAAATTACAAAAATTTAAATAAAAGCGGTAAAGTACCGAAGAACTTGACATTATAGAATCATAGTAGCTACTAAGATATATTAAGTCTTTGGAAAATTCACAGCATAATCTGGTTGGCTGGCACCTGCAGTTTGAATTTAGAAATCAGAATTTGATGCATTACTTCAAGACTTCACAATCTAAAATTTATCAAAATTTGTGTGGTGTAATAACTTTGAAATGTTGAGGATTTCTTTTCGAAAAACTTCTTTGCTAACTTTGTTAACTTTGCAATTACAAGCACCAAAGTGCTATCGCCTTAGATTTCTCTTTTCTAAACAATAATTGTGTAGAATATGTTACAACGCAAAACACCATTTTGATTTTTCCATTCCATAAACTTTCTCTCCGTTAACATAAGATTGTAGCATAGAAATTTGTTACCTAATGAAATCAGAATAGTTTCTGCAAAAAAAAGTGGTGCATCTCACTTTCTAGCATTTGCTTGAAATATCAGGAGCTCCGTAAAGAATCGCA